CCTCCTCTCCCTCCCTTCCTTTTTTCCTTCCAGTGTGTCAAAAGGTCTCACTGTGTAGTTCAGTCTGGCCTCAAACTATGTAGTCCAGGCCTCAAACGCTCTGTGATCCTCCTGCCTTAGCCTCTGAAGTTCTGGGATTACACATGTGCCCCACCATACCTGGCAGAACCATTTGTCTTAAAAATAAAAGTTCTCCGGTGGAGAATTCGCAGCAGCCCACATATTATCAAACAGTGAGCCACCTGAATATGTGGTTTGTCAAAACCAGATTCATTGGCTCAGATGACCAAGTATGCAAAGACAAATTGATGCATTGATGATGAAGTCCGTTATGAGAATTAGGAAGTTTGTGTTTGAGCCTGACAAAGTAACCAGTTACTTCTGGGGAATTGAACTCTTGAGCACTAGTGTGCGTATGGAGGACGACTGCTCGATAACGTGACGGCATTTTCTTTCCAGCTTCCTGCAGACTGGTGGAGAGGTGGTAGATGCAATTACGTGGCACCAGTAAGTGTCCCTTGTTCTTTCTATGAGGAGAGAAAGGCTAATTTTATCTATCACCAGGCTTCAAAAAATTATTTCCACTCAACTGCAAATTGGCTTTATGGTTTAAATAAGAAACAAATAATATTTCAAGCATCACTGTGCTTAATATTAACAAAAATATTTAATGTTACTTTAAAATAATGTATTTTCTATAAAGGTCAAGGCACCCTGCCAATTAACTCATAGAGTATAAAAGTAGCTGTGACTCATCGCTTGCCCAAGTGGTGACCAGGACTGGTGGCCCTTTTGAAGGTAGAGCAGCAGATTCCTAGTTATTTGGAGAAATAGCCCCTTCCTCATGTAACCTTTCCCTTTGGTGCCTCCTTTCTGCCCTTTTGTTTCACAACAGAGAGGAGATGAGAAAAGTAGGAAAGAGAACAAGGTTGAAATTGACTTAAAAACAGGAAGTTAATCTGTCATTTTTTTTCCGGAATATTTTCTGACTAATTTAGCTACTATGTAAATGGACGGATTGCTACCAAAGAAGATTTTCTAAACCCAGACGTGCTGGACACTTTCATGGTATCAGTGCAAAAAATTTTGCAGGTAATAGTCTTTTAAATTTTTTTCAGTAAATCCAGAGTCCTTATTTGTCATAGCCTAGTTACTCCTAAATTCTGTAGGTGCATACATTAACATGATTTTCTAATTTTATTTTTTAATTATTATTATAATTTTTTTTTTTAGAGACAGGGTCTCACTTTGTAGTTGAGACTGACCTGGAACTCACTGTGTAGCCCAGGCTGGTCTCGAACTTGCAGTAATCCTCCTGCCTCAGCCTCCCAAGTGCTGAGATTACAGACATGTGCCACCATGCCCGGCATGTTTTTCTAATTTTAGAGTCCAAGAGCTATGTCTTGTTCACGCTTAGTTTCTTTGTCAGCATTGGCTTTGGTCTCACTTTGTAGTTGAGACTGACCTGGAACTCACTGTGTAGCCCAGGCTGGTCTCGAACTTGCAGTAATCCTCCTGCCTCAGCCTCCCAAGTGCTGAGATTACAGACATGTGCCACCATGCCCGGCATGTTTTTCTAATTTTAGAGTCCAAGAGCTATGTCTTGTTCACGCTTAGTTTCTTTGTCAGCATTGGCTTTTGCCCAGGTATATTGCTTAGAAATTTAAAATACTTCCAATAGCCTTTTAGTAGAATTAGTTACAGATTATAACAATGTGTTTATTTCTATTCCTTCCATACCCTACTGTTGCAATAAAAAAAAAAAAAAGATAATTGCTGAAGACCTAAATGACTGGACACATTTTGTAGCTAGATGGGCCCGACAGGTGGGTGTGGCAGCACAGGTTTGGAATGCAGCGAATCTTCAGCCCAGGGCTTTGCCAGCTTATCTGTAGTTACCATGGCGAGCTTTCTGTTCCTAGGTGGTGGAGGAGACCAGGCCTGGCAAGAAGGTCTGGTTGGGCGAGACAAGCTCTGCATACGGAGGCGGGGCGCCCCTGCTGTCCAATACCTTTGCAGCTGGCTTCATGTGAGTGAAACCCCACTGGGTCAGGGATCCTTATTAGTGCCAGCCAAAAACAATGTCAATGGCTTTTGCGGCCAAGCCCCCAAAATCAGGCCAGAATTTGCAGGAAACTGATTGGCTAAAGCTTGTTGGCCATCGTTAACAAGTGTCCCAAATGAACCTCTGTAACAGTGAACTAGTTAGGTATCTCCCGCCTTAATGGTAGCCCAAAACAGGCCATGGAGTCTCTCCTCTAACAAAGTTCACTGTAAAAGGACGCACCTAGGACTTTGGCTCTGAGAACGGTACTTACTGCATGCACCTGAATTGTAGATTCCCAAGAAGATTAGAGCCTCAAGTATGAGGTCACATGAGAGGGACTCCAAAAAATTTAAACGTCTCCCGAGTCGCCTCAGCATCCTGCACCACGGGCCTGATTGCTTCGAACTGCTGACTGCTTCTATTCAGCATGCGACTCTCCCGGGGTCTTAATCTAGAGTTCTGCATCCTCACCCTGAGGTTTTCCCCCCTGTCCTCCCTCAGCCTTATTCTTTCCTCCTCACCATCCTTGCTCTTACCAACTTAGAATGAAGCGCACAGATCCCGTGTGCTCAGGAGGACGTGAGGACTAAAGAGGAGAACAGGGACATTTGTTTTGCCATCAACTGAAGGGTTGGTGGGCAGGTGTGGGGACAGAGGCAGGACGAGGGGAAGTGTCTATAACACCCTGCCTGTGACTGCTGATTTCATTTTGGCCACTGCTGCCGGCAGTCTTCTCTGTGGTCCTCACACAGTGCGTGTGTCAGGTGGGATGTGGGGTGAGAACTTTCCTGTGGGGATAGGAATGGGTCTGCTGTGCTTTGTAGACAACATCTTGGCTTGCACAGGACTCCTCTGGCCTCTTCGCAGTCTGCGGGGATTTGCTGTCACGCTCAAGTGTGGGACGGAGTGGAGGGTTCACTGCCATACTTACTGGCCCTTTGGCTGTGTGGTTTGGTTGTGACTAACGCCACACCTCTGGGTTTCTGTGCATTCCCTCCTGTAGATGAGCAAGGCAGGATAGTGTGTAAGTAGCAGGGAGTGCTTTTTGTTTTCAAACCTGAAGAAAGCTGGGTGTTGCTCTATCCCAGGTGGCTGGATAAACTGGGCCTGTCGGCCCAAATGGGCCTAGACGTGGTGATGAGACAGGTCCTCTTTGGCGCCGGAAACTACCACTTAGTGGATCAAAACTTCACACCTTTACCTGTAAGTGACTGTCATTTTTCTATTTCTTGGCCCAATGGAAGATGCTGGGGGTGGGGGGGTCCTGGTTCAAAGCGAACAGTTGGTCTTCTCCGTAAATAACCTAGCCACGGGACCAGGAGGTGGAGAAACCTCAGACACCGTCCAGTCTAACATATCTGTGTCTCAAGAGAAGAAATCAAAAGCCAAGCTTTCTAACATGTGGGTCATTTGTAGAATGGGTGTTCATGTTTTTCAAAAAGGGGCACTTTGAAATTTTATGGCTCATTTTACAAAATAATAATGTTGAATAAAAAATATTTGGTGAAGTTAAAATTGCTATTGTATCAAAAGCTCTATTTTTATGTCATGAAATAATAATTTATTTAACTTTGTAAAAAGCCAGTACTAGCTGGGTGCGGTTGTGCATACCTATAATCCTAGCCCTCGGGAGGCTGAGGCAGGAGGATCACTATGAGTTTAAGGCCAGCCTGGGATACCTAGGGAGTTCAAGGCCAACATGAACTACACAGCAAGACCCTGTCTCAAACAAACAAACAAGCAAACAAGCAAACAAAGCCAGTACCTACGTATTTATATTTTTAAACTCACTTGAAGAATTGATATTCTTATTAATAATCTTCAAGATATTTATGAATAAAACCTCATTCTATCCTATCTCTAACAATATCAGGTACTAAAGTAGGAAATGCAGACTTTTATTCAAAATTCCATCTGAATACACACACGCATTATCCATCTATCTATCTATAAGATGGAACCCATAAAAAGTAAGGCCTTGATTTTTATAGTATCAAATAGCATTTGAGGATATCTGGCTTTGTTTTTTTGGGTACCGGGTTCAAACTCAGGACTTTGCACAGGTGGTGGAACTACTAAGTTAAATCCCTGGTGTATCTTTCTTTCTTTTTTTTTTCTTTTTGGGTACCAGGGATTGAACTTGGGACCTTGTGCCTGTGAGGCAGGTGGCAGTGCCACTGAGCTAAATCCGGCCCTGAGGATATCTGTTTTCAACAAGAATTATTTGACTATATTTAGTCAGTGTTTCACATTTCTTTGTTGTCTAAAATATTATTGTTATTTAGTCAATCAAAATCCAGAGTTCACACATTACATTTGGTGACATGTCTCTTTCAGTCTGTGGTGTGTGTGTGGGAGTACTGGGAAAATCTGTTCATCTTTAAATTCTCATCCCTCTGTGTTATTTCTTGTACTTTATTAATTAAAGAAACCAGGTAACTTGTTCTATAGTGTTTCCTATGTTCTGGGTTTTGCTAAATTTATTCCCGTCATGTCATTTGACATGTTCCTCTGTCTCCCATGTTTCCTGGAAACTTGAAGTCTGAGCTTATTAAAAATTTTAAATTTTGATAAGAATTCTTCATAGATGACGTTGTGTTCTTCTGTCAGGAAGCACATAATGTGTTTTTCCTTTCTTGATCTTGATAGCTAGAATGATCGTTGCCTAATCCATAACTTTATTAGGAGGACAATAAGGTCTTACAGGAAATTATTTGTTTCTTAAACAAACGAGCTTTATTTAAAAAAACGTGTCCTTGTGCATGCATGAGTTTCAGTGTTCTTTGAGCTCTGCTTTGGATGAAAGAAAAGCAAGAATAAGTAAGCTTTCTGAGGGTTGCATTCTTGAAATGTGTCTTCTTAATTATGGAAACAGAATCTTCCAGGGAAAAACAGCAGCAAGCAAGGTACTGCCCTAAAATTCATGGTGATCACCAGCATCCCCACCCCCCCGCCAAAAAATTCCATTTAAATACCCTTAGAATAGCAGTTACCCTCTTTGTAGGATAACTGTCTTTTGCTGCTTTTGTTAAAATAAGAATAAAAAATAAGCAGCGATCCTCTTTTGTCTCTTCCCCAACCACCACACCAGGATTACTGGCTGTCCCTTCTGTTCAAGCAACTGGTGGGCACCACTGTGTTCATGGCAAGTGTGAGAGGCTCTGACCACGAAAAGCTTCGTGTGTACCTTCATTGCACCAACAGCAATCAGTGAGTAGAGACACACCCACAACAGTCAGCAGGTTTCGGCACGGTGGGGCCATGGGTGTGTCATTCTTCCCTTTTTGTGTGTGTGTGTGTGTGTGTGTGTGTGTGTGTGTGTGTGTTCATAGCAATATGCCACCAGACTCTAACTTCCAAAATAAAATAAAAGCATTGCTTAAATACAGGCATTGGCAGTCCTGCTAAGATTTAGATAATGATTTCAATTGTCATAACTTATGATGGAGCTGTATCCTGAATCTTAATAAATATTAGTACAAATAGAACAAAATAACATTTATAGGAACAATTCACTGGAGGATTATGAGTGGCTATAAATGTAGTGATGTGGACAGTTATATGAATACACTTATCTCCTTGCATCATGTGATAAATTTACTAAATAGCAAAATAATCAAAAAAGGCAAACAGGACCAACACAAATCTTATTGTCAAAAGTTGCAACCACAGCTGTGGAGTTGGAGATGCCATAAAGAGTTTTGTGGCCCCTTCCTCTGGCGTAAGTAGCAAAAAACTTTTCCTAAATCTCAGGGACCTTTTCTTCTTCTGAGTTTCAATCTGTCATTCTCAATAGGGTGATACGAAAATACGATTTCTAGCTCAAAAAGCCATGTAGAATTTCTGGTTTCCAGTGGCTGAGAATTCTGCGGATCAGGCTCTGCTCGGAAGTAGTAGAGGAAGGCTTTGATCGCGTACATTTTGAAAAACGTCAATAGGTTCACTTTTCTTATTTTTTTCTGTAGCTAGGAATAGCTGCTGTCTCTATGGTTTATAATTTGAATCCATGTGAGCCAACAAACTACACGTTACCATTTAACCTTCCTATATATAAAAGTGGGTGGTCTCGCTGGCTTTATAGAAATCCAGCCTGGTAGAGCAGCCAAGATCTCAAAGCTCTGGCTCAGGAAGTGGCAATGTGAGAAGCAGTTTCTCAGTAATATTTTCACAATGAGACTACACGAGTGGTCTACGATTATCTTCAACAAGAAGGATTCCGACAGGTCTCGTCACACAAATACTTAGTATCCATGATCCTCTTTATAACCAAGTTCTTGTGTCCTTAAGTTCAGTTAATATTTTTATTGAGTTAACCTATTTGTTTTTAGTCCAAGGTATAAAGAAGGAGATTTGACTCTGTATGCCCTAAACCTCTACAACATGACCAAGCGCTTGCAGTTACCCCATCGCTTATTTCATAAAGAAGTGGATAAGTACCTTCTAAAACCTTCAGGCCGGGATGGATTACTATCCAAGTGAGTAAATTTCCTCCTTCATTTCAAAGTTGGAATAAATTTGTCATTGTTTATCAGCATAAAGAGTTTGATAGGGAGCCAAAAAGGGTAAGTATTTCAAGTTTTAACAGTGTTCTTAATATTTAGGAGATTTACGTATGAATGAAGTACAACTCAGAAGTCCAAAGCAGAAGGAGATGAACACAAACTAGCAATTAGTTTAAAAAATAGTTTATGGGCCAGGGATTTAGCTCAATGGTTCCGCCGCCTGTCTCACAAGTGCAGGGACCTCACTTGACCTGACTTCGATCCCCAGTACCAAAACAAACAAACAAACAAACAAATAGTTTGTATCCAGTGAATGCATTTAGGTGATTAGACCATGAAAAGTCTTTACAATCACTAAAGCAAAACCTACCTTTATATGGTTTCTACTAGGGGCACACGGGCTGGTACAAAATACCCTACTATGTGGGCTACATGTGACTTTCTTATAGCATTAAAGTAGGGTTTCTTTTATGAGTTAGAGTGAGAAAAAACCTGTCGGGAATGCCTGGACAATCACATCAGATTATTTGAAGCTAGTCCTAAAACATTTTGGTTTTTAAGTTGACTTTGAAACACATTTTATAACAGTACACATCCAATGGGGACCCAAAGAAAGGCTCAGGCTTGCGGAGCAAGGTGTATAGACACGTGATGGCTCCTGTGTGTGTCGGAGGGAACTCTTTTCAGTACAGCTGTCCTCATGGGGACTACAAGAAATGAAGATTTATATGATTCCCACCATCTTCTTCCATCTTGGCAATGCCATGTGTGTGCTGTTTTCCGCGTCTTTTAGCAGTGGGGCGTGATTCTGCTTTGTCCCAAGTCCCATTCCCCACAGATAAATGTGATTAGCACTGGGTACTGTTCCTTTGTTTGTTTTCTCCAGGGCTTATTAAAGACTGTAACTACTGTATAATCGTACAACATCCAATGGGAAAAGGGAGGCATCCACAAGTTTTCCCAAGGTGTTTCCTACATAGTCGTTGTAGACAGCTTCAGTGGGCTACATGTTTTATAAAGTGCCATGGTCTACTTAACAGTTTAAACCGTTTATTCTTCCTGTTATTAAATAATGCATCTTTGGGTAACAATACATTTCTTTTTTATGCTCTGATCCTTTGTGAAATGAGAATGCTTAATTAAGCATGCTTGCGCCTGATGCTGCCGAGAAGGAAGCTTTTCCGAAGGACTCTCATGGGAGCTGTAGAGCTGGAAGTATTTGCAGAGTTTTTTGGCCCAGCCACCCATCCCAGGCTGTCCAGCTCCACGTGATTGTTCTCTGGAGGCCACTGCTCCTTGGCAAGACCGGGAGCCTCTGTCTGCATGCGCTACTCTCAGTCTGGACTCTACAGCAGAGGTTGCAAACTCCGCCTCATTCTGTAGACAGGAGGCTTTGCGGGATCCCCTTTCTCTGTAGGGTGTGTCTGCCTGTGCTCTTACTGAGGATGGAGCCCAGAGGCCTGGGAACGCTAAGGACCTGCTCTCCTGCTGCACAATGCTGCAGCCACACCTGCTTTTCTCTCCAGTAGATTCTCTGACAAGGGTGGGTTTGTTTTCTCCCCTTGCTGGGGTGGCTTACTTTAGGTAGCCATTCAGCTTTTTGGTTCTCTGTTGTCCCTTCCTATGCCTGTTGCCCTGTACTTGACCGCTGTTTGGGTGTATGTAACTTCTCAGGTCTCTTGTGCTCCCCACCTCTGCCCCACAGTGGTGCCCAGCACCTCTTCTTCTCCAGGATGACTGGGTTGTCTCCTCCCTAGACTAACGATGCCCAGTTTCTTCAGTGGTTCTTCTTTTGGCTACATTTATCAGGCCACATTCTGATCACACATCCATGCTGTACAGTTGGAAAACTGGTGGTTATGAAAGATATTTTATTCCCCTAACTTTTCTTTGATAAGTAGATATTACTTCCAGTCTTCTCTCTTTATATTTTGCGGGCAGTATCCCAGATAAGTTTTACAAATACCCAGCCTGTATACTTGCTCATATTAATGACTCAGAAAGTGAAAATTGCCCTAAAAATAATTGTTTAATGGTGTAGTGCCTTTGGAGGGTTCTGAGTAATATTTAATAAATATCTGAGCAAATATATTGCTACACTAGATCTTTTATTTTTTTTTTTTGGTTTTTTTTGAGACAGGGTCTCACTATGTAGTTGAGACTGACTTGGAACTCACTATGTAGCCCAGGCTGGTCTCGAACTCACAGCGATCCTCCTGCCTCAGCCTCCCGAGTGCTGGGTGTGTGCCACCACGCCAGGGCACTACACTAGATCTTAACCAAAAGGCCAAGAAGCGATAAGAGAAAATATATTTCTAATATAAAATCAGTATTTTCTATTTGTCTTAAGTTTCCCAGCATCTCCAGTTCTGCCACATCTGTTGCCTGCTAAAGCTTTATTTTATCTGAAACTTGACAAAAATGACTTCTACTTCTTTATCCTCAATGTAAGAAATAAGCTACTACTGTCAAATAAACCCTCACTCTCACTGTCCAGCCCAATGTAGATGTAATCAGCGGACTAAGCTTCCACCCAGCCGCTTTTGGTACTGGGTGTCGAACTCAGGACCTTGCCCTTGCGAAGCACGCAGTGGAACAACTGAGTTAAATCCGTGGCCCAATGCACAGCCTTTTTAAGGCTATGAATACTGGTCAAACAACACGATCGTCATCTTAGCTGCAGCAGTACTGTTCTAGTGACCTGGGATCCACCCCAAACACATTTCTGGAACTTGTGCTACCAAACTCGAGGCTGAGCATCTAATCAAGTCAAAGGAAAACCATTTTCTTTTTCTCAGATACTCTTTGTATTATGCAAACAATACTTGTTTATTTTTGAAATCAGAGGATTAACGTCAGTTACTTTTATGTCCTATATGTAGTGCATGTATAACAGTGCTTTGCAGAGAGTAAACACTGTAAAAGTATCATGTATCGTTATTTCTCAGATATGTAAATATATAACCTGCTAAATAATCATACCAATATATAATATTCATTCTCTATTATGTACATGTACACTATTTTTAAGAATGGGTTTTGTATATATTTTTCTTAAAATTTGATTCCTTCCCCTTCACATGCCCAATATTTATTCATACCAGTGCCTTCACCTACTGCATAATTTTAGTGGCTACACAGGATGCCATGGAAGGAGTCATTCGCTTATTTACTTAGCCCCGCACTGTTATTTTGTTGTTTCCATGTAGCATGACCACACAGTTTTCAAGATCTCTCACCCTCTACCCTGACTACGGATCCTCGAGAGGAAAGACTGGTTTCCATCCTTTCCGGGTTAGAGGCTCAGCTCTGGGCTTTGTAACCTAAGACGCAGCAGTTACAAAGCCGTGCCTGTGCTGCAGGCTGAGCTCCCAGCTATCGGCTTTCGTGTTGACCTATAGCACAACAGTTTTCAGATGCGGTTGGGCAGGAAATGTTATAACCATAACCCGGAAACCATAAACAAAAATAGGCTATGGAAACATAAGTCGATACCAGTGTCTGTTCTGAGTGAATTTTTTTTTAATTTTATGACTCAGTTTTTGAATTCCAACAGTGAAATACACAGAAAGCAATTTTTTCAGGGGTTTAGTGAAACATTATTTTTTGTTTCAATATATATATATTTTTTTTTTCTACCAAAACACCTTATTAATGAATGTGTACTTCCTGGGGAGCAATGGAAGTTAGTTTATGAACAAATTTATAGGAGACATCACTATCATTGTTATGTTACATTCTATTCTATATAGATCTCTATTTGCTTTAAATAAAAATATTTTCAGTTATCTTCCATCAAATTGCCACAATTCCGCAAGGTGTATGAGGTTTTTTTCTTTTTCTCCCTCCGCCACATTGCCGAGCACAGGTGTGTGTATTCTGTTTTCTGCCAAGGACCAGATAGTAAATATTTCAGGCTTTGCAGCCCACAATGTCTCAGTCCAACCGCTCTTCTCCACGGCAGGCCCAGATCACCTGGGTCAAACCCCACGGACACACTGTCAAGATCCTCGTTATATAACATGGGTTGCCACAAGCAAAATTTTGGTCCAAAATAAAAGATTTCACAACTCTTTAGGGTGGTGGGGTTTGCACAACATGGCTGACTCAGGCTCACGTTTCCTCTTTGCAGATCCGTCCGACTCAATGGTGAAACTCTGAGGATGGTGGATGACCAGACCCTCCCGGCTTTGACAGAAAAATCTCTCCGCCCAGGAAGCTCACTGGGATTGCCAGCTTTCTCATATGGGTTTTTTGTGATAAGAAATGCCAAAGTTACTGCTTGTTTATGAACATGAAACGCATACGCCAGCCCTGGGGTCACACATTTCAAAGGCATTGATGAGTAAACCAACACGAGCTACAGAAAGCAAACAGATCCCATACAGATCCACTAGGGGGCGCTTTAAGGACATGGAGGACACCCTCCATGCTGGATGTAGCACAGGAATCTGATCTAAGTAGAACAGTGCTGGTAATAATGGCGAATAATGCCATGGGGCAGACATGATGCCTAGCATTCAGCATGCACTATTTCTAAGGATATGGAAAATGTATACGAATGCTCCCAGTGTGTCCAGGAGGCACACGTGGAGGATCTATTTTTCACTTTAAGAAAGTGCTTGTTTTATTTTTAGGAGGTGTCAGATTCTTTCCTTTTCTTGCCATCTTTTTGGGCTCCCACGTCGAAACTTTATAGCCGCAACCTTGAAATTGGTTGTAAAGAAGAAGCCTTCTCTCTGCAGTTTATCAGGAACAAGATCCAGCCAGTGCACCTCTTCTCTCTGTCACGTTTGTGTTCATCAGCAGTGGTTCGTGAGAGGGCAGCAGGTTACATATGAGAGTGTCACAAACTGGTGAATACAATTTGGAGGGAGGTGATGATGTAAACTTCAAATAAAGCCTTTGAATGACTGTAAATGAGATTGATTTCCCAAGAGATGTTCTCTTAGAGAACATCCGATGCATCATAGCCATCTGTTAGTGTTTAATTTTTCTCTACTGTTCTCATTTCAATTGGGAAGTGTTGGGCTCTAAGTAATAGAAAACTCCCATTCAGGTGGCTGGGACAATAAGGAAAGTTTTAGCCCCACATAATGAGAGGTTCAAGGAGGGCAGACTGGTAGCTGGACATGTCACCTGGGAGGCAGGCTACTTCCCTCTCGCTGCGCCGCTGACTTGAGCACTGGCATCATTCTTGGGCTGGTAACCCGACTGTAGGTATGCTATGGTCTTACTCAGACCTGGTAGCAACCACAAGAAGAAGAAGATGGGCAGTCTCTTCTGAAAAGCCCTTTCCCAGAGGTTGTCCCAGCAAACCTCTCCTCCTGTCCCGTCATGCCGTATTGGCCAGGAAGAAGACAACTGGCCATTTCCCCAGTTGCTGCCTATGACCATGTGATGCCCAGACCCATCTCTGAGTGAACCTGCTTTGGAGTGGAGAACCTGGCTCTGGGGCATCCACTACTTTGGATATGAGAGTTCTGTGCTTATCAGGAACAAAATGTAGTAATTTCCTCTAGATTTTAATCCTCCTAAGGGTTAATATTCTTTATATTTTTGCCTGTGACTATTATCTCAAACCTAAGTACATTTATAGGCTAAAATTTAAAATTTGGATGGTCCCATATGCTTAAATTTTATATGTAGGTGATGTTTATATTTTCACATTTGAAATAATTTTTTATAACCTTAATAGCACATGGCTATTCCCTCCCCCCTTTTTTGAGACAGTGTCTCACTATGTAGTTGAGACTGACCTGGAAATCACTATGTAGCCCAGGCTGGTCTTGAACTCACAGCAATCCTCCTGCCTCAGCCTCCCGAGTGCTGGGGTTACAGGCGTGCGCCACCACGCCCGGCACCATGGCTATTCTTTTAATGAAGCTAAAGCTTATGGATTCCTACATATGGGAACTTTGTTGCCCTTCACCTTTGTCTTTTCAGCCTCTCTCCAACACCAAAGGACTTGACCTGGAAGAAAAAGGGCCAGCCTGGCACTAGCACATAGATTCATCATGACCGAAGTCTTGTCTTGTTTTTCCCCTGACCCTTTTACTTAATAAATCACTTTTACTTCCTAATTTTTCACTCATATTACTATAATAATCTCCTTGGTGTTCATTTTGACTTTGCTTAAAATTCTTAAACGGCTCCCCATTTCTTATGGACACATACCTGGCACTGCCTCTCTCTCCAATCCTAGCTCTTGTCACCCTCCCCAGGACCATGGGTCTCCAAGCACGGATGGGTTGAGAAGTCCAAACACAAGTGCTCTTGAACCTTTTGTTCCTGAATCTTATGTGCTGTTCCTCTGGCTCCACACAGACTAATCTAATGCTCCTCTGGGGGACAAACTCACGCTTACAAAGGAAGATGCAGCTCAGGCATCAAATTCAACATCTCCACCGTTCAAATATCGTCCTCCTCTACATTATGACATTTTGTAGGTTTTGCTATTTACAAGAGTTTTCTGTTTCATTTCTACTGATGCTCTTGCGCGTCACACATTTACTGTGGTCCTTGTGACGCATTTTAATGGTGTGTAAATCTGCTTCACTTGAAGCTTATGAGAAAACACACAAATGTCTTAATCATCTGTGAATTACCTATGCTTAAAAAATGTGTAACCAGGCCCACAGACACCAAATGGCTATCTTCTTAATGACGTACGAGTGTTCAAGTTTGAAACTAGGCGGAGGTATTTTGGTTTTGGATATTCAAAAATCATTTAGTATTTCAAACCTGAAAAGGTATTATCTCCTACCTCTTGGGAAATCTTTTTAAAATTAATGTTATGGGGCTGGGGATTTAGCTCAGTGGTTCTGCTGCCTGCTTTACAAGCACAAGGATCTAAGTTCAATCCCCAGTATGAAAAAAAAAAAAAAAAGAATGTTAGTGAGCTGTCACTAATGGTGGGTGGTTATACGAAAAACTGGTGGCATGATTATGTGATGAAAGGAAAACCAACAGTTATATGCTGAGGAATATTAAATGTACAATAATTTAAAGTTTCCTTTAGCCTCCATAGGGAAGCTCTTGTCCCTCACCTCAGCGAGACTTTGAGCCCACACCTTTCTGTTAGCATGCTCCACCACACTCAACTCTCCTCTCCTCCCCTCTCCAACACTATTTTCTGCATTGCATCCTATTGACTGGAAATTGCTTGTATCTTTTAGTTTGGTGCTTGTGGTTCACTTTGTCTCCATGGAAATGAGACTTTCCAAGTCCAAGTATGAATCGCATGTGTTCGAAATTTTGCTATTTGTACCCTGCCTTTTTAAAAATGATGTAGCTGGTCCCGCCATGGGGTACTGCCTGAAGAACCACTGGGCCTTCATACACATGTCTTGTATCCGGCAGGCCTGATGCGTCTGCTTGCTCCACTGGGTTCACTTCTGACCTCTAGCTCCCTGCTTTTGTTTTTTTTTTTTTTTTTCCTTCTGAGACAGGATCTTGCTATGTGTCTTCAGGTTGACCCTGAACTATGTAGCTCTGTGATCAAACTCCTCCTGCCTCAGGCTCTTAGGTGTTGGGATTACAGGTGTGCACCACCACATTCAGCTTCTCCCGACCTTTATTTATTTATTTTCTTTGGTGGGGGTTGAGACAGGGGTCTATGTAGTTGAGACCGACCTGGAACTCACTATGTAGCCCAGGCTGGTCTTGAACTCACAGCGATCCTCCTGCCTCAGCCTCCCGAGTGCTGGGATTATAGGCGTGCACCACCACGCCTGGCTTCTCCCAACTTTTAAAACACTGTCTTCGTGGTTTCTTCATGGCATTTTGAATTCTTCTACCTAGCATGATGGGTGAAGGCATTCTTGGTGAGGGATCTAAACTAAGGAAACAGTGTAACAAAAACAGTCTTGGGAGGGGGGCTTATTTATAGTAATAAAAAATGAAAATCATCCAAATGCCTGCAAGAACAGTTACCTAAGAGAATGAGTAATAGTGATAGAGGAAACTCTTGTAAATAGCAAAACCTACACAATATCACACTGTAGAATAGCTTCTGCTGCCTCAAACAGCAGTTTGCTTTGTTGAGTTCAGAATTAACCGACAGTGGATGCATTAACTACTGAATGAGGCATCTGGTCTCATCCTGAGATAGCAGGGCACGCTGAGACCTGAGTTCCGAAGTTCTGTAAACCACATGATTGTTACAGTGTCAAGATGAAAAGAACCATTGTTAACATTTGCTTTCCTCACCATGAATACCCGCTTCCTATGGGCTAGGATAGAAAGCAGGTGAATCTTAGAGGTAAACTCCCCTAACGACAAAGAATTGCTACATCTGGGTTGAAAGTTAACTGTCTTGTGACCATGATTTGTATATTGGTAATAACTGAGAGAATGAAATGTAACCACCTGAATGAGATCAAGGCTGTAAACCCCTATAAAAGAGGGAGCTGTAAGACAGTAGGGAGTTGATCACTGGCACTGCTTTAGTGCGGTTAGCCTTTTGTTGATAAAATACACTTTTTCTTATTTTACTTCCATTCTGCATCTCTTGTGTGTGTGTCATTTACCAATTCCTTCTGTAACAATGGTTCTACCCACACAAAGAATGATTTTGCAACCATTAACAGCCATTTCAGAAGAGCAGGTAGTAGCCAGGCATGCTGATGCATGCCTGTAGTCCTGACACTTGTGTGGGAAAGTTATGGAGTATGGTGGTGCATGCCTGTAATCCCAGCAATTAGAAGGCTGAGGCAGGAGGGTTGTCAGGAGTTTGAAGCCAGCCTGGGTTACAAAGTGAGTTCAAGACCAGCCTGAACTACATGGTGAAAACTTGTCTTAAAAAAAAAAAAAAAGAAAGAAAGAGCAAGCACATAGTACAGGAAAATTATCATTACAACCCAAAAAGGGAGCTGAGGAAGCTTCCTATAGAAAGGCTCTGCTCAGCTGTTGGGGAAAGATGTAAATACCTTTGCTTGAAATGCGCACTTACTGGGATCACTCACGTTAAAATCCAACTTGTCCACTCTGCCATAGGAAAAGCACTGGGCCAGCTGCTGCTGGAGACTCAAACTAGAACGCGTTCCGTGGTTGCTCTGCAGTTCTTACGTTTGACACCATTGACCATTTCCCTCCTCCTGAAATTGCCTTCTCTCTTGGCTTCCTCAAAACTGTCTCTCTGTTTTCCAATGATCTCCGGCTGCCCCTCCTGGGTCCTTTCCTTGAGCTCCACTTCTGTGCTGTCCTTACATGATGGAGTTTCTGTGGCATGATTGAGGCTGTCGTCTGTGTTGTCCCTCGATCCATTCTTGCACCACCATGAGTACAGTTCCGAGAGTGGGCCGGGGTTTGCATGTCTAACATGTATTAATTTTATCCCGAATATGAACACGAGGCATCAGGATAAGAGAGTCTGCTTAAAAAATGAAACACTGAATGTGTGATTCCCATGTCACAATTCTTTTTTTTTTTACTTCAAAAAATGTCATTTTATATGTTCACTTAAAAAGCTGTACATAGAGACTTAGAAAACAGTTCTGTAAAACTGAAAGAACTGCCAGGGGAAAGGGAGGGTGAAGTTTTTGAACACTGAGGAAATTACAGAAATAAAACAAAGACCATAAAATGTTTAAAAAATTAATATTTCCAAGTATAAATTTTATAAATACAAAACAAATCCACAAATTACTCTGAATGCTAAATAAATATCGTTCATAAACTCAGACTTCGTATGTCCAGCCAGCACCTATTCACAATTCTTACCTTTGCAGCAATGCAATGAAAGCCAGACCGAAGCCAGGTAGGTTAATGTCTATTCCTGCACACTTGGCAGCCCGTGTGAGAAGAGACTATGGATTTTCTCTGCTGGTATACAAGAGAAAGGCTGCTGTCTCCCCTGCAACTCATTAAAATAGGAGGCAAACTTTCGCTTGTCAGAGACAGAATGGAAAGGATCTTGCGCTTCCAAAGAGAACTGTCTGGAATGTAAATGAAGTCTCTCTGGGGCTGGAGCCCCCACCTGTGTCCAGTGTTCATGACCTAGAGACCTTCATGCTTCTGGATCTCTTTGCTCCTCGAAAGGTCG